ATGGCTAATTTCTCTGATTTCAGTTATGACTAAAAAATATGGGAATTCTACGTCGTTTGTTCTGGCAGTCTTGGCATTCTTGGAACGGGTTACATAAACACTATTACAGCACTAATGGAACTGGTGCAACTTGCATTTATTGCACAGGCTGTTAGTAGCAGCTGTATGCAAACAAAGTGTTAAACATTGACTTGATCAAAATACCAAAGTGCCAACATGATCAAAATAAAATACTTCATGGAAATTATCACAGAATACGTAAGAAATTCACATAATGTACTTGTAAGTTTTTTAGCAAGGCTTTTTGTTTAGGTAACCAGACAAGGCAGGAAACTGGAATTTCACGATGATGTTTTCTGTTCATACACAATCCCAAAAATTTCTGCTCAGCTTTCTCATACGGTTACGCTTTATGTACAGACACGTGAAAGTTTTGGCAAGGTAATCTTTTACGTGTGAAGACACAGAAGATAAGAAGCCGAAATTTTAAGGGAATGTCAAAACGTGAAAATGATGCAGCAGTTTCTTTCAGTAGCTAAACCAATAATTAAGATCCGCAGCTGCATAATTTTTTTTACAATACATCTGTTAGTCAATATCAATATTCAGTGCAAAAGGATTGTGCTGTCTGGTAAAAGAGTAATATGTAAAAAGTCCAGCCATGCAACGGATTAAAGCAGAGAATTTCGGTGAAAAGAATACCCAGTGTAACTTCTTATTAACCTGCAAAATAAGCCGAATAAGCTCAACACCTGCTACAGACTTAAAAAGCTAACGAAAAAATGAATACAAGATCGAGAAAGGATAAGCACAAAATCAATATTTCTGCACAGGGCAGATAACAAGTTTACAGGTAAAGACCAAAACACAAATCGCACCTAAACACCGTTTTTTGTATATTATATCTAGATTAATTCCATACCCCTTATGTGACTATTTAAAAATGCAAAGACACATTCTCGATGAACAATCCGTCCAAAGAAAAAGTATTGGACAAACAGCCTTCTAAAACATTTGTTCTTTAATAATCCTTGATTTCCTATACCTTTCAAGGCAGATAATCAGATCTTGTCATGGGCTTCGCAACTTAGCATACCGGCTGTGATGATTCGACTTGTTCCGCGATAAATTTCAAACAGATTCTTTCCATCCTTAAAATATCTGTTGGTCTCGAAGCCATATTGATTGGCCATCAGAAGATTGAAAACACTTTGGTCAAAGCGATGGCAGTGCGCATATTTCCTGGAAAATGTGCACTCAAAAAAGCAGTCAAAAATTGAGCTCTGAAGAGCTTTGTAAGATTTAGTGTACCTGTAGTGGTCATCGCTGGCAAAACTGCACTGCACTTCAAAATTCTTGCCACCTGAACCAAGTCCCATGCACTCTCTTTCCAAAGCGCATGCAACTGCCCTAAAAAATTGGGCATGTCAGTTTCAAAAAAAATTTTTGAACTCGATTTTGATTAATGGATTTTAGAACCTGACAGTAGTCTTATCTTTTGTCCTTCTCACTCAAATTTTTTCTGTCTTTAAATTTCATGGAGTTGCCTTGTAGACGCTTGCTTCCATAGCAAACCAATGGTATTTTAGTAAAGCTGTTGACTTTTACCAAGGGCAACAACAAACAGTTTATTTGATGAGCGCCAGTTTTAAGAATCCACAATAGTTAGCATTGCGTAAAATGCGCAAGGACAAATATGGTACTCGATACACATAAATTTACAAAATGGCTTTCTTCCTGTCCTTACTTATATTATTATTCCTGTTTATATTATTATTTCTTTTTAACTATATCCACTTTTATTCACTTATGACTACTTAATGAGTAGCGACTCGCCCTTGTGAGTCACTTTTCGGATGAACTGCCGCTCTGAAGTCGCCTTGCCTACAAATACATCGGCGAACAGAGGGGATACGCCATAACTGTCCTTTATCTGTAAACCAAAACCCCAAATTTCGAGTACCTACTCCAGCTCGTTCTGAAAATTGTGGATATAGCAAGAATTCGAACCTGAAGTAGTACACAGTTTTCCCATCAGAATATTTTGGGAATGCAAGCACTTAATCACTTTCGAAAGTCCTTCAGTTACAATATTACTCAACTGTGACTTAAGTTTTTAGTTTGAAGCAATCCCGAAGTCGGAAATTGATATCAACTTTCTAGCCTGCGTGCAATCAAAGGCTGCGTTTTCAGTTCCCAGCTTTCTAATTTAGTAACCCTTGAGCTAATCTATGCGGATAGAAACAAATGCATAACACAAACAGATATAAGCTTGTTAGTGCGCGTTTTTGCGTAAAAACTCTCCAGAGCCGGTAACCTCATCGTATGCTCTCTATGCAAGAAGCGAGGCACCCAGGAAATAGTATCAGTGGCAAAGCGCCAACAGCATCAATTACCGGCAAAACTATCGATGAATCACTCTTCGAGAGCTGCTTACAGACAAGTCGATGGTAGCTTTAATCCTTGGCAAATATCAAGAAAAATTAGGCAGTAAAACAATTAGTCTCTCCAGTAGTATAATCAGTTCCTATACACAACAACGGTGCTACTTCTCACTACGATATTCTTGCCTCTTCCACAAAAGATCTGTGATTTATACCTAAAGGTATGGTTTTCCCTAAAAAAGAAAAAACTTAACGTGCACTGTTCAAAAAAGGTTAACCCCCGATTGACCCCCACCACTTTTTTGATGCGGCTGAGTCTGTGTAAGAGGCAAAATGAAAACAAATACCATCTCAGAATGTTTACAACAGGCTGTGTGCGAACGAAAAGCATAGTATTTGATTCCAGCATCGTCGTTTCTTTCAACATCCCGATTTCGCTCGGCAAATATCGGTATGTATCTAAGGTACAGTTTAGCTGTGAGAGAAAAAATTAGAATTTGTGGCAAATGGAAAATACTCGTAGCAGACATTTTAAACGCCTGTCAAAAAATTTTAAAAAGCAATATTTTTACGAGGCAGCCCCACAGAAGTGTTCACGTACGTCGAATAGGCGATAAGCACTAACTGGAGGTATGCGCAGTCTGAGATTAGGGAAAAACTTAGTGTGCACTTTTCAGAAATGCTTCATCTGGTGTGTGGGAGCATCCTAACAACAACAATAACATGAGATACTCACAACGATACCTGGGCGGTACTGTTATTCCTGGGATTATGAAGCAAAAGGGCTTTTTTAGCTCATAAAAATTTGCTTATTTCGTGGTGCTGTGGAAGGTCTCGCTTTTCAGTTACGATCCATATTACCGGATCCGATTATAGACTAGTTTTGCAGAGCAAGAACAAATCACGCTAACAACAAAGTTAAATGGATTTCGCTTTTCAAGAATCAGAAAACAATTTCTTGCACCATTGCATTCAAACCCACAAAACAAGCTGTGGGCTATTCTACGTTGCAAAATGGTATCGACCACTAAAATCAAAGTTATGAAGCTCCAACTGTGCGAAATATCTGAGATTACAATTGCGAGGGAAACGATTTTGCTTGCAAAAATCATTTTTCGATTGTCTTTGATTTGGGAATAAACTGTATTTACGAGTAAAAGAATCTGTACGTCATCAAAATTCACTTCTTATTCGTGCACTACGAGAGACGGAAGCATGCAAGAACATGTTTTTCGAAAATTTCGTGAGAAGTACAGTATAGTTGTGCTATGGTTGGCTGAGTGAAAAAACGACGCACTTTCAATTTCTGCAAACAGCAAAAAGTACAGAAATACCGTAGGCGGTAGCTGCGAAGATGCTGTGTCTTGGATCCGAGAAGAACAAAAAATCAGTTACGTTGCAGTTGCCTTCCGTACGAGCTCGAAAATCGCTTCCTTTCCTAAACACCACTAATAATTGATATTTGGCCTTCGGGTCTTTGAATTAACCGACAGAGATTCAGTGCTTCTTTTCGTATAAAAAAATTTTACTCACAGTATAAGAGGCGTTCTTAACGTCCGTTTACAATTATATAGGGCGTAGATTTGATCTAGGCCATCTTCGCGAGTAAAACGTATAGAAGCGTCTAGCCACCACACCACCCGATATTCTTTCAGCACTTCCTGCAACACAAAAATCTTTCAAAGTTTAGAAGTCTGGAATAATTACTTATATGCGAGATAATCAGAGCCGAATGGACGAAATGAGAAATAGCGAGACTGAAGGAGTAAGAAGCTAAGAAAAAGATGAGTTAATTCTTTTCAGTCCATTAAGTCTTAAAAACTTTAGTCTTAAAAAATGTGGCTTTACCTTTCACAGTATTTTCTGATCCATTATGACCGCTTTTCGAAAGTGTATCCTACAACTCCGAGATGAAGACTTACCGAACTGTAAAAAATTTTTGCAGGAATTTCTCAAAATGTCTAAAACCCATAAAGTTCTTCACTCTCGCATAATTCAGATTAATAAATTTTTTTGGAAATTTAGTTTCTTACAG